TACCCATTTTAGATTGCGTAAGACCAACCTCAAAGTTGGAATTACCAACCTTTGTATCTTTCAAGTTGGAAAAATAATCTTTAAGGTTGAAAAAATTGGAAAGCCCAGATTGAATTTTAATAATTTTAAAACAATAAATTTAATAAATAAAATACATTTATTTAATTTTAAAAATCAAATACATTTTTTCCAAATATGTAAAAAAAAAAAAAATGTTAACTTGGGTGTTAATTCAAAAATGGCAGAATATTAATCTATTGAACACTTTTATCAAGAATGAGCATTTTGTTACATAACTTCGAAGGTACTCTCTATTAGGAAAGGGGGGTTAATTATTTGTGACGTGTTAATTAAAATATTATTAATTAAAACAATCAAATGACTACTCATGAAAATTCCAGCCGTAACCTTTTTTTTTCTTCATGGCATATAACGTCACAAAATAAACTTGTTTTAGATCTGAAAAATAAAAGTATTGCATAAAAATCAAATCAAATAGGGATGATATTGTTACCCTTCATCTGAGGTCTGGCAGTAACCAAAATTAAAGCAAATTAACATTGCTAAAGATTGGAGAGAATGCTGTCTACAAAAAACTAATAGTTCACTTTCCTTGAGTTCTTTAACAGAGAGCAGATTATGAATATATTACCAATAAGGTACGTACAACTGGAGGTTGATCCCAAAGACATTCCCTCAATTAAACCGAAAATGGGGTCCTCTAGAAACGAATTTGATTGCGGACAGGTTCGGTGCGCTGATAGACAAATACATGATCTGGACACTCAGTCGATAACCCAGTTTACGTTCCATACAAATGCATGGCTTGCAAACTGAAGAGAGATTAAAGTTAGTATCTTTCCACTACTTTTTCTCAAACAGAGATGCATTAACCTTCAGAAAGAAAAGGGATTGTTAGCAACATGGCATAAACAACCTTATTAAATTTCTGGCAGCACCTATGAGAAAGGAAACTCAATCAGCTCATGATAGCTAATGGAAACAATGGTGTTTGTAACAGCAGATAAAATCCTTTTCTCTCCTCTTTTAACATACATGCTTATATAGACTATCTTATCTGAACTGATCCAGAAAGAGTATGTGTAGACTACCATAAAAAAAGATACAGATCTGCGAGTTCAGATTTTCTTAATTTAAAAGTGCCAGAGGCAAATTGCTTCAAGGCTATTTTTTTCAATGCAATATAGGTATCGACAGTACAGTTTATATATATAGCGTACTTTCATCCATTTTATGTAGAAAGTGTGGTGATAATGAACTCTAAGCAAAGATTCCCTGTTGATGTGGTGATTGATCAGAAAGACGTAATACTCTGTAATTAAATTAAATATAAAAGCAACAATCTTACAAAACATGTCACATCTTAACGATTGAATGTTTTATAAACAGTATCCGTACGTATAAATTCGCAAAAAGGCCGTTTTAAAGGGGCAGATGAAATACTTGTAACTTCAACTTATTTATCAGTAACTTGTTTCAGTTTTAAAATAGATTGTGCTTAGATCATGCTCTCGTGTATCTAATCAGATTAGGAAAATGTGAGATCATATCCATATGATATTTGTATATATATCTAAATAATTAATGGAAGGTGAGTGTGGAGAAAGCCGAAGTCTTCCCTTTTGCCATGCAGTTAAGTTATTGGATGACGTATTTTTGTTTTGTTTATGGTCAGTAAGATATAAATTCTGAAATAGATGTGGCAAATTCTGTAGAGTATTTTCTTTTGAATTTATTTCAATATATCGAGTTGACATAAGAAAAGAAGTATCTATTTGTTGACTGATAAAAAGTCGACGAAATATCTTAATGTCAAAGCTGCACAAAAAAGATTTTTTTATCCCTCATATCTCATTCCTCACTTTCGCAAATTCTAAACCTATACAACTCAAATAAAGAGTCACGATATATACCCATCGAATTTAAACGGATTGTTGGAATACTTAGTATCCAAAGACTACCTAGATTTTGTCAATGAATAACTTCGATTTGGCATGCTAGGTATTATTTTCAGTTTCAACTTCAGAGTATATGTACTTGTTTAACGATTCAATGTGATTGATGTTGTCATTTTAAACATTTATAATAGGAATATACAAGGGTTGATCAAAACGTTTGCAAACTAATTGAATAACATCCATTAAAGAAATTCAATTAAGGTAAGTCACTCGTCAAATTTGTTAAATCAAGGATTTTTTGGAAAGTATATTTTGGATAAGTACTCATGTAGCATGACTCAAAATCGCAGAGAAAATAGGGGCTCAGTGTGCATCTTACTGAGCTATGGTACAATTAAGTTGACCTTTTTGCACTTAAATTTTAACTCTTTGATTTATTAATTTATCTCTAATTTTATTTTATCAGATGTTACTACGTTAATAAATTTAATCTTATTTTACATAAAATGGTTTGAATAATATTTACCATTGAACAAATCTTGCAAATTAATGCGCGTTTATTATTGTGTGACCTTTTTGCACTAAAAAATAACATATTTGGGGGTATTAAAAACCTAAATAGGCAATAAAATATTTTCTTATATCAAGCTTTTTAGAAAAACAGAGTTAAGTGCTGATATTGTTTCTTGAAAAACTATAACACAAGTTTATCTTGCAAAACAGTTTAAAATAATGAAAGAAAAAGTTGGGGTCAGTGATGTTAATTTTGAAATATTGGTCAAAATATGTGATTTTCAGGACAAAAAATGGTGTAAATTTTATCTTGACTTCTTTAATATATCTTCATTTCTTGGCAAAGTTTGTTGAGGTTAAACTAAAGCAGTGTAAAACTTGTTTTAAAAATATAAATTAAGACCTATATTAAATATTCCCGCAAAATCATAACGGAAATGGCGGATATTCCCGCTTCAGATTTACAAATGTTAATATCTAGAGTTCAGACAAACCAATCCTATTATCAGTCCAAAAAAAGTAAAAAATGTGAGGCTAAAGTTTCAAGACATTAAATTTAATAAATGTGCAGATTTGCAGAAATATCTGAAAGCTGAATATCCTTCCACCACAATGAAATTTCAGAAAAGTCCCTCATAAATCTTGCTTCTTTGTGAAGATTTTTAAGCAGTTTTTTCGATGAATGTTTAAAAATTTACATTGTTGAATATTATTATTTTACAAAAATTGAATTTCAATAAATATTTTTTAAGTAAGAGGTTCTGCGTGAACTTTTCTAAAAAGCTGACGAGTGACTTACCTTAAGTTGTGTGTTCATTATTTTTTTTTACAGTAGTACTCTCCAATTTTAATGAAATCTGCCGATCGCTTACGCGCGAATCACGTGATCGTAGCGTTCTGTTCGCAGAGGCTAAAAGAGTTTCTGAGTCATATATTTCTTACCATGCAAATCATGATTTAATATCAAATCTCAAAAATAGGATGGGTGGATAAGGATATAGCCTTTCTCAGAATGATCATGGTGACAATTACAATTGTTGCTGACGCAGGGGCCTAATATTCAAATTTTGCCGTCAAAAATATGAACAAAAAATTACATACATGTAACATCTTCTTTTTATAGAATCTGTGTATGACCATATCTGTACCCAATTTCATTCTGATCTGAATTGTGGCTTTGTAAATATACATGTGTAAAGACAGTTTGCGAACTTTTTTGAACACCGCTCGTATATATGTAAAACTGTGTTTATATCCCTATAATATGTTTCATTAAAATGATACATTTCTTATTTTAAAAAAAAAACTGTTTGTATGGCGACTAACGTTCGCAACCTTTGCTAGAAAGCTTTTATGTATGTACCTTTACATAGGTTTCGTATTTTATTTCTGATATTTTTTCAAACGAAAATCTCTGTATAAACAAAGATATAATTTTACTGTTAAACTAAACAAACTTAGATGAAAAACCAATCAGGTGCCAAGGAGGAGGAAGCAGCCACGGGCACGTTTATATAAAAATATACAATATACGGGGTATATTTTTTTATTAAAAGGGAAAAAAAGTCAGGTCAGGTGCATGTGGATTCAGCCCCTGGTGACCGATCCCACTCGCCATGAGTATTTTGAAAAGTCATGAATTAAAATAATATAAACTTAGGTAAAAGTTTTGAACTTTTAGGAACCAAAACCATTAGAAATATGGTGAAACCTGATCTACACGTATCTCACAACATATATAACAACAGCCAGTCTCTTTTGTATTATTTATTAGCATTAAATAGATTGAGTACAGTATAATAATGAAAGCTTGGCTTTTTCAAAGATTTGCATTGCCAGCAAAGTGGGACGGATTATAATCTAGCTATTATTTTTGAAATGGTAACCAAATCATTTCCGTTAAAGATCTATCTGAATATACTAAGCACAAGATCGGATCATCATAAAAATCAATTTTAGAGACCAAACCCTGTCATGACCTAAAACTTATAAGCAAGAGTATATAATTTGGCGTGCGGAAAGCAAAATTGAATTAATGTCCTTTGAAGAAAAAAAAAAACATAGCAACAAAGTTAAAAATCAAAATTATTTTAAAACTTTGAAAAAATGGCACATCAATGAATTATTAGTAGTTCAATACTAAATTGTGCAGAGGATAATCTTCTGTGAACACATATACTCAAGAGTTCATAAATATTACAGTACATTAATAGGTACTCAGAGTACCACTTAAATGTCAACATTACATCCTGACATTCTATAAAAAACACCATTTAATAAATATCATAGCAACATTTCTTCTACAACTACATAACAATTGTTGAACACATGTTATTGAACTATCTCCTTATTTATGTGACTAGTCTCTTTAAAAAAATATACATTTAACAAAAGTTTGAATGAAATTAATTATATCCCAGTTTTTTTTTCATTAGCAATAGCTTTAGAGATCTACAAATAAAACTTCTTGGAACAAACAGTGTCATTTCAGTTTCTTAAAACTCACTTGATAAAGGTCTATGAATGAATAAAAAGAATGTTTGCTCTAGTCTTATATAAATCTCACAAAGTATTCAAGAAAGTAAAGTAGCTTGAGACGTTTCGTTTCACATCTCTAGACTTTTCTTGTGTACATCATTGAAATCCAGGTAAACCGAATCTTTTACACTGGACTCGTCAAAATCCTAAGAAAGAAAAAAACATTTATTATAATATCAAAGATAGTAATGTTCAATTTAAGAATTGTACACTAAAAATAAAGCCTCAAATAAATGTTCAGTAAGATGCATGTAGTACTTCTTTTTTAAGTGCTACATTTGTACAGTTAAGTATCTGATCCGACGGCCCTGAAGCGAACAAACTTCAAGATACATTAAGTCAGGAAGTTTTCACAAATTTCTTATGTCTTGCTCGATACTTCTGGAGAAGAAAATTTATCAGGACAATCTACCGGGGGATTTTTGCCTTTCTTCATTTAATTCCCCTTTTAGAATTTCAACAAACTTGAACTCCATTTACCCAAGGATGCTTTTCGGCAAGTTTGATTGAAATTGGTTCTATAGAAGAAGTTTCTTTTGAATTCATTCGTTTCATAAACTTTAATCTTGCAACCTATGTGGAAAATTTAGGTTTAATACAGTATATAAAGCAAATTTAGTAGAAAACATTTCTGGTTGATTCATTCACACAATTTGGTCAGTGTATATCTAAATTATTTGGGAATCGATACGCTGAAATCCTTAGACACTCTTTTAGAAATACAGATCAGACACGGCATCCAAAGTTTATCTGAAAAGTATCCATAAATACATCGCCATTGCAAGTTTCCAAAGTATGCTAAGAACTCACTGATGTTTGAAAAAGGGCATTTTTTCCTTATATTATATTTAGATGCAGTATCCAAATCATGTATATAGTTGTAAGCAATCCTTCTTGCATATCTCTTTCTAGTTTGGTCAAGTCAGAGAGAGCTTAAATTTACTTAAGGACTTGCTAGATATAAAAAGACGTCAAAAACTAATCTATCTTTGATGACATGGTCCAAAATTTGTCAGAGCTCGATTCCTGGTAATAAGGTTTTGTTTTTAAGATTGATTAATTTATCAAGAAACATTAATCGAGAGTCAAAGATAAAATATTTGCTCTTACCTCTGGTTCTTTTTTGATAGGATCTTCCAATTCTTTTTTGATTTCTTTGGAACTGGCTGAGAAAAAGCGACCACCTTCGCCACGGAAGCGGTTCATCGCGTGCCTGTGGCGGGACTCGTGAAGATATTTCTATTTAAAGAAAAATATATTATTTAATAAATTTGAAATATTTCAACCAAATTATTTGCTTTTGAACCAAATTGAATATCTCTGTTTTAGAATTCCGTATATCAGTTTCTACTTTTAGACAAATTCTTGAAATCTTCTAATACATAAAAAAGTAATTTTTACCTTTCTCTCTTTCGGAATTTTGCCCTGGGCCTGTAGTTTTGCCCTTGCTTGTCGCCGTTTCAGAATCCTGTGGTACTGTTTGGCATTAACGTACAGTGGTTCATCCTCCTGTATGTCAGTTACTGGGAATGGACACTGCATGGGGTGCAAATTCTCTCCATTCAGAACCTAAAAGACATAAACTCACTTGAAATCGCTGAAACAATTGTTTTGAAACAAAAATCAAAGATCCTAAATACAGTTTCGTATGTTTTAATTTTTTTCAATTTAAATTTAATTTAATTTAAGTTTGCACACCATGATTTGTGGATGCTGGGGTGTGGGATATCCCTCGGGGTACTGATGTGGGTCTGAATGGGGGAGAATCGCGGGGCTGCCGGGGTCCATAGATTCTGGCATCCTATCTGGACAATGAATGGCTGGCGAATGTTGGATGTTGGCGTTTTGTTGAGAAATAGCACATGACTGTGTCGGGAAACTGAAAGTTTGTCTGCCTGCAACTGTGGGTGAAGATGGGTGAGAGGCATACATCGGAGAGGCCCTGGAGTATGGATTCACCATCGGTACCCCATTCTGGAGGTACGGGGACTGGGGTATCCCGCTATAAGCCTGGTTGGGCGAGGGAGAGGACTGGTAGTAAGGCTTACTTGGAGATGCTATGACATTACCATTGTTTGGAGAGTCAATCCGATTCACAGTATTTCGAGCCCGGACATTTTCACCATTGTTAAGACCGTTGTCGTTGTAATGGATATGACTGCGCGGGAATGCAGGATGGGGGAATCCATGCTGATTTGAATGAAATGTGGAATTTGGACTTTGCAGATGAGAGACGTTGTCATATTGTTGTGGTGACGATACCATTTCTGGAAAATGTGTTGACCTTGGGCTGCCACAACTAGAGTTTGGAGAGACTGGACAGGAGGAGGATTGGCTGTCTATAAAAATTGAATCAGGTATTAATTTAAGACAGGAATTCCATAAAATTGTGACGTAATAGCCAATGCTTTCTTTTCTTATTTAAATGCATTTGCCCATTGCTCAAAACATGCATTGCATAAGAATATTATACAAAACGAGGAAATTATTCTTATTCTTCAGAATTCACTAGAAAGGACGCTTACTTCTGTGTGACACGGGACTTTCCGGTTGCCTTAATATGCAATTGTTGTGAGAAGATGAATTGACCGGCAGTCTCAGTCTGTGAGGGTCTTCATAATGGGAGATCTTGGGGTCGTCCATGGGGTGGAGGAACGAGGCGGGGTGGCACCGCCCCTGGTAGTTCCTCATGTCGATGTGCTGATGGTGCTGTTGCTGTTGTGCAAGGTAAAGCTGGAAACAAAGAATCAGATGCGCGGTCATGTGTGAATTTCAAAATGAAAAAAGTGACAAGTTCAAAATATTCCAGAGCGTGTCAATCTCGACAGGTGCTTCTAGACAGGAACCCCCAACCCTCCATCGATTCCCGGGCCTTTCAAGCTTTCAAACGTTAATTACACATTTATGTCAAATAAATATCAAAAGATGAAAAAATATGAAAATTGATCCTTGCAGGCACGTAGCATCGTTTTTGAAAGTTGAAAAAGTTAATTACACATTTATGTCAAATAAATATCAAAAGATGAAAAAATATGAAAATTGATCCTTGTAAAAGGATCTGTCAGTATCTATTTTTGATCGTGCTAATACAAGCACCCGTAAGCTATATCTGTATGGTTTACCGGTACAATAAACAACATACTGTATATCTTTAAGTAAATAAATGTTTAATTATATCTAGTATACGATTAATAAAAAAAAGTATCCACATCTGCACATTAAGAAATACAGTATTGATTTTCAGGTTGTACTTTGTTAGAATTTTTGCAACTAGTGATAACTACGAAACTTTTCATAGACGTTTTCTGGATTTTTTAGGATTCGCTTTTTACACTCAAAAAAGATATTTTTCAAAGTATTTATAATCATCTGCATATTTCAAAAAGTTTTGCGCTTCTTACTGCAGAACAGGCTTGGTCGCTAGAGAGAAGATCCATATACATTTTGTAAGGTGCGAAGAAGGATTCGAGGACATCTTCCTTACGTACACGCACAAGTTCTTTTTTGTTCTCATCAAAATCGATTTCAAAGTGCAGCGTTTTGTTGCATAAAAATTTATCATCCACATAAAAATGATAGTAATCATCCATATTTCTATACTTCCACAATCCTTATAACATATGAATTCTCATTCGTGATTTTGTACAATGAATAGAACATATTACACAAATTAGATGTAATTAATACAAATACCCTCCAGTGATGTTATCGTAGTTTTCCTTACCCATCCCTGCTGAATATTGACAGTTCTCAATGACCTTAACATCTCTTCTGATGAAAAATATCAGTACAAAAAATGGGATCGAGAGAACTTTAGACTGTCTTTAAGACATGTGTTTGGACAATAACTGCAACTACAGAATATGAATTTGAAATTATAAGAATCTTCTTTTCGGGTGTTTGAATCTTCCTACAGAAGTATCACTGTCAGAAGTTGATGCTAGAGTGTTCGATTGGCTTGCTGTTTCAAAATCTTTCACGCAAAACATTGTTACGTCTTTTAAAAAATGGTAATCACTTAACTAAGAAAACAAGAATTAACACTGCAGACGATCAAGAGTCAATTTTTCAAATTAAAAAGTTTTGCCAGCATGCATGTGTGACATGTTAAATTTCATAGATATGCAATAATTAAATATCGAGGGAATAGGACCAGTTTTATAAAAACAGTTTCTAAATGCATTTTTTTTTAATTTAAAAAAACTTGAAAAAGATCTGTAAATACCAATACTGCATGCTCTAAGAAATTTGTTCTTATTCCCGCTTGCACCTTACTGCAAGAAAAAGAACAGCTTTTGAGCTACATTCTTACTTTTTAAAACGTGTATCTAATGTATTTTAGGAATAAAAAAGTTACCTGAGGTGGCATTGGGCCAAAGTGGCCCGGAACATGCATGTTTGATGAGCAAAAAAGTTGATTTGGCGGCAAAATTTGACGAAACAACGTTCTTCTCCTTGCAGAGTCTACTTCTGTCGGTAGTGCGTGCTCTACAATTATAAATCAGCAAATAAAAATCCAAGCATTCAGCTTTTAGCTTGCATTCAGTAATGCAATCAATAAAGAGGTCTCCTCATAGGCTTCTCATAGGCTTTTCAAATAGCACCTATCAACGTCAAAAGATTTGACGTGAATATACACTTTAGAAAAACAAGAGAGTCTTAAATATATCGTACCGTACGCAAATTTATTTCATTTCTTGCGCAAGAAATCTCTATGTTGTTATCACCTTCTTAGGGGATGATTAGTAAAGCGTTAATTTGAACTTTAACAAATAAACAACGATTTGAGACAAATGTCGAAATCCTTTAATGAAGAACGCTCTCACAGGTAGAAAAAAAGGCTGATATTAAAAGTAATAATAATTTTTCCAGAATTTATTTGTTTATTAAATAAATTAAGGATTACAGTTATCATGATGCCCAAAGATAAATGCTTGTAGAAAACATCTCCCTCTCTCTTTTTTCTCGCTCTCCCAAGGCTTCTTCTTCACTCTAACACTGCACATGTATAAATTTACATAATTTTTAAATATGTATGTATTAGAATATATGTATATATATGATATTTCAATGAAGTTGACATCTGACCCCTTCAATACTTTGTTAGCTCCTTTTTATTTTATTTGTTTTAACTGAATAAAGCATAGTGGGGTTGTTTTGACGAAAAGAAAAAAATGTATAACTTGTCATCTATAACGGGTAAAATATTAAAAAGCCATCAAAATTTCTCGAATTTACGTTGAATAAACAAAATAGTTTTGCAATCCAGAATTAATTTATTGTTTATGCTGACTTTAATATATTGATATTTTTTTTTATTCATGTAAGGCAATTAAGACTTTTATCTTCATACAAAATAGACCACTAGATGTTAATCTATAGTTAAAGTATATCATTAAGGGAGTTAGCAAGATTTTGAGTAGCTTTTGATTTATAATACATACAATATTAATATTTGTAGGTTTGTAGAATATTCCAATTTAAACATATGGTGTAAAAAAAATTGTTTTGTTATCAGAATTATTATTTTTTTTATTTGTCTTGGGGTCTGGAATCCTGCTTACTCCCTCAATGATATATTTTTCAACTGTTTTTTTTTACCTACAAAAGTAAAAAAAAAAAAAAAAAAAAAAAAAAAAAAATAGAGGATTCGAATGACGGGGAATTGGCTTCCGGACTAATGCACGGGGATTAGTCCTTAATTTATTAGACCGATACAAAAATAAATCTAGAGGATTACGGATAACCTTAGCTTCCAAGCAGGGATTAGAAGGCTATAGAGATAACGAACAGTATTCAATATCAAAGTCCATAAAACAATACAAAATAGGAGCAGAGCAAACACGGACCTCCAAAACATCAGAGGTGGGATCAGGTGCCATGGAGAAGTAAACATCCCCTGCCGACCGGTCACACCCGCCGTGTGCTCCTTGTCTAGTCAGGTAATAGCGGAAAAATCCGTCAATTCAGTGTATAAATAATGGACTAACAGTTAGTATAAAAAACGTCAGTCAGCATTTGTCTCAATGATAAATTGTATTTGCTGACAGGTTCATTGTATCGACCATAGAATTTACGAAATGATGACTTTAAACGAGACCGTTGATATTCTTGTTTCATCAACTTGCTTGTCAATAATTTACCTCGTTTTAGAAATTGTTCATAGATTAGCTCATATAACTAACACAAGGGGATTAGTCCATTCACAGAGATTTCTAGAAAAATTATTCACATTTTATAACGTTACTGTCTAAATTTTATATAGGAAGAAATCAGTATATGTTTAATAACGAGAACTAGAGGTGAGAGATTATAAAGTTCACTGACCCAAACTCGTAAATTATGTACATATCATGAAAGCATTTACTAAAGAGCTTGAGGTGTGTGTTGGTTCCGTCTCATTATCTCTGTTCATACTATCAATGTATATAAGTATTTGACAGTTTTCTTTTTAATTCTTGTCTGTTTGAATATTTAGATTTGCAAATTTTAAAAAAAATGCTCAACGTAACGTTCTTTCTGACACCCACGCACGTCTCTTGAAATTGTTTTAATTACCATCCAATGTAAGTATAAAAAATAAAAATTTTACCATCCAATGTAAATATAAAAAAAACTCAGTTATTATAATTTTTAGTTTTTGTTTCAGATATTAAAGAGCAAACATGTAAGAAAATTATCAATAATCGTGTATTACTACGTATGCTATAACTAAATATTAATCAGTGGCATTCAGAAAAGTGTTAATCTTTTTTTAAAAAATTCTTAATTATGATCTTTTTCATTATATTTCATTTCAGATTAACTGCTTTGTATTTTGGATCAAATGCAAGTCTTTGATAATTATCTTTCTTATGGGATGAATTTAAGTCAGCAAGTCCAGGGTCAATGTCTTGAGTTCAAGGTCAATGTCTCTGATATTACTCTTAAAGCATTTGTCTGAACGGAACAAAAAAATATCCTTCCTGTATATTTCATATGTTGAAATTGTAATGAATTGTGCAGAAATACTTTTACTACTACTCATCGAATAGTTATCATTTGTTACTTGTAAAATGGAGACTTTCTATAAATTACAAATTGAGCAGTACAGTTCAGATTATTTTTTTTAATTTTTGTATGTTTCATTTCTTGTCTTAAATATAAAAAGAAGTACACTATATTAAAAGACATTCTATTTGGTGATACATTTTTTTTTGTTAAAACAAGACTCTTTATAAATATAATAATAAATATTTAATTGACTCGTATCATTTGTTCTTTGTATGCAAAAGGTATCATATGACATTAATTAAGAATAATTAAGAAATATATTCTTTTTGTTTACTCTTATAAATATCAGGTTATGTAGTATCAGGAAAAAAGTCCAGCACAAAAGATGTCATTGATTAGAATTTCTTGTAGAATGCCTAAAACCATACTCAAAATTTTATACATCTTAAACATGTAATTTTTGCATTCATTACATGTACAGGTATTTAAAACAAACGGGTATGTTTATCGTTTCTATCTTAGTATAGAAATCGAACCATGCTATCGACAGTTAACCAGTTAAAGTGTTGGACGTTGTAAATTGCAAGATCTTGAATCAGTCCATTTTTGTATATTTCAAATGATAAAATGTGTGGCTGTTCAATTAAAACATAATTAAAGGAATAAATTAATGGCGAAGAAAATAATTTGTGATTAATTGCACTCACCTGTAAGATCCCAATTTCTAAGATTAATTCCAAGAGAAGCATAAAATAATGTCTCCTCACTATGTCTATTGTTTATTTAATTTGTCACAATTCGTATATGCATTCACATATTTCACAAAACACTTAATATTGTCCAAATATTAACGATGCAAAGTTGCATGTCTGTTATGTACAAAGCATCATTGAAAATAAGCTTAGAATATTTAAGTCGGGTTTTAAATACATAATGAATTTAACTGTCATGTGTACGATATTTATTTTTAAACATAGGAAGTTAAATCAAGTGGTTAAAATAAACAAATATGGGATACCACTCTTTATTGGATAAAAAAAGGAAGCAATGCACTATAGCACGAGTTGACAGGAAGTTGCGTTTTGATTGGCTAATATTATTAGAAATATAAAGGTCACATGGAATATTCAAAGCCTCGTGATACAGGTAGTATTGTCTCCATTCATATAATTCTACATGGGACGTATGTTACAGGTGAACTGATTTAGCTAGTTGTCTTCTGGAGAAAGCACAAACCGCATTGGTTTATCAAACTTCGAATGCGTTTGGCTGTCATGAGAGGCCAGTCAAGCATGCTGAAATGATATAAACCATTGCGGTAACAATCTGCAATGCTATAAATGACTGTTCTGGCTTGTAAAAATTCTAACTGCACAGACAACATAGTATCAATCAAATCTTATTATTAAGATGTCAACTATGCAGATGCAGACGTTAAACTCTTTAATTTTTTGTAGGTAAAGAGACTCGTTTCCAGGTTATGTAGCCAAATGTTGTGTAAAATTGTAGACTTAATGTTGACTTTGGAATGCAATTACCTGGTAGCACCGGTTGCACTTTTTCCAAGCTCAAGGATACATCAAAGTTAGCTCCATCAAAAAAGTAACAATGGACATATATCTTAATAACAAAATCATTCAACAAGGAATTGATATGGTCATACCTATTTTATTTTTTAGCATTTGATGCAAACAGACACTTCATGTGTAAAACATTATCATTAAATATTAAAAGAACTTAATCGGCAAAACAATGCAATTAAAGCGTTTTACACGTTGTCGGTAGGCTCTGGATGAAGAAGAAGATTCTCATTGGTGAAACGGCGGGTATCCGGAAATGCGTCGATTAACCAATAACATGATTGCATGGCAGTGTTTATCGATTGTATATTATGAAGCATTGTCGTTTGGGCATGGAACATCAAAAGGCAAACTAATGTTTTACTTCCAAATTCAATTATTTTTAATGTGCAAAGAGAATCGATTAGTATATACTACAGAAGACCATGGCGGAAACAGGGTGCTAAATGTTCATTCCTCGCCACTGAGTTTGAATGGCAAATATAGTACCAGATGTTCACTCCTTTGATGGGGTAGCCTCCATGTAATGTCTAGTCATGCACCTGTAAACGGACTAATTATATAGATAAGTCATTAATTGTATCTTACCTGAATTAATAATGAGTTTATTAAAAAATCGTTTACATATATTCTACGATGTATCATTAATTGTATCTTACCTAAATTAATAATGAGTTATTAAAAAATCGTTTACATATATTCTACGATGTATCTGTTTTGTTTTATAGATATTAACATTGTCCTGAAAAACGTATATATATTAAATGACTTTTAAGAAATTACTACATGTATACTTCCTTGTTATCAAGTTGAAATACGATTTATAATCAAAACAAAACCGTGTCGCAGTATTACACATGCTTATAAATGAAACAATGCATCCACTTAGATGAAATCATTTTTCCTTTTTATTAGAAAATTAAAGCCAGCAGTTGCCCGACTCTTTAAAAAATGCGAAGTATTGTCAGTGATAAGTATATAAACTACATCCGTGTTATGCCATTTAACCTACTTAACAGTAAGAAGATTTATATAAACAATCATAATACAGTTTAATTAAGGTTATCAAGTTTATCACGTTTTAACAAATAAAGATATATAAACATCATATCTGTCTCCTTTACGGTTTGAAATTGTCCAATCTTTATGATGCCTTAGGAAAAATACGACTTATATTATCCAGAGATTCTGCTGAGCTTGGTCGTAAATATATTTAAGAGAGCATCTCATTTTGAAAATTTATTCGTTAGCATATGTTATAAATTCATATAATAAACATGGACATATCGTTTGTCTTTTTGATTTATTCAATTTTATTCACAACCAGCCATGTGACTCAGAACAAGCAATACAAATTTCAGCCAATCAGAAGGAGCGATACTTGACATGTTCAGACTAGCCAATATTTTTTCGTTGCTGTGAAATGTTCACGCCCTCTTCATTTTACAGAATGAGGATGTATAATGCTAAAAGCTTTGTCAATTTATTAAAATTCTGGGCGACAATTGTTACTGTTTCGAGGCGAATCTACATGAAAATAATTTCGGGCGGTTACAAAAACAACATTTAAAAAAAATAACTCAGATCTATCGTGAAACCATTACTTCGACAGCAAATATGCATAAAGAACTCCAAATAGTAGTTATTTGGAAAAACCGTCTACTTAGCAAAAAAAAAAAAAAAAATCACCTTTGTTAAAACTAAGCATATTCACGGAAAATAAAGGAAATAAGTATTAAAAAAATTCACTCTGACATTTTCATCAGCTGTATTGTATTTGAAATATTCAGAATTTTTTTTTTCTTGCACTTCGTTATTTTTTAACACTTTATTATTCAACTGAAGTTAAGAAAATCACATTGAAAATTGTATGATATTTTTAAAAGGCTGTTCAACGTTCAACGGCCTTTTGTTGTTCAGCACATATGGCGCAAAGTAATAAAAACACGTTTGGTTAAAAATTTATATAAACTTTTATTTCGATGTTGGTATTCATTGAAGCTGAAGGAATAATTAAGTGTATTAATTATTTGCTGCTTATTTTAATACTTTATATAAAGCATATAACTTCCACATCTATTGAAAATGTAGTGAATTACATGCCAAATATAAATTACATCATATCCATTGTAAATTGCAAGAGAAAAATAATCTAAAGGAATGGTAAAAAATTATAAACAAAACAATTACAATTGCAAAATGCACATGAAAAATGAAAGTACTTGATGTATTTCTTGAATTGACAGCCAGGTTAATGGGTTCCTATCAAAGGATTAATTTTTGCGATGGATTTTCTTGTATCCGTTGACACAAATAACATTATTTGTGGGAAACGTTGTTGTATTGTTTCGGGTAGGTATGAAGAAAATCAGCTATATGAACATGTTTAGTAATATAACTCAGGTAATAGAAACGGAATATATGAACTTATCTTGACACATTATGAAGATGAAACGATATAGAACGTACATAAATGTTTACTAATAGAGCTGACGTTTTTTCACTCATTTCTGTTGATGTGCTATAATATTTCTGGCCGGGTTCATTTTTAATTCCTGTGGGGTCGTTCCACTCATTCCGAGCCATCAGTAGCTAATTTAGACACACCTAATTTAATCCACCACATCTAACCTTGTCTGTCAGGCTGGCGACCTCAAGATTGCTTAGCAAAGGTTCTACTAAATGACCTGATACAATATGAACTTGATGAAGATTAACACGCCAACGCAAATTCTCTTATAACCTCAAAGTTGTATATTTGTATACTAATGAGTACTTTGTTTCTTTTCTTTTCTTTCCCTTTTTTTTGCTTGTCAGATAAAGAGTGATTTCTACAAATGTGCTATGATTTATGCGTTCTGCAATTAAGAAATTGAAGTTGAAATTTGAAGCACGATTCAGGAGGTTGCAATATCAAACTAAATTGAAAAAAAAATAATAAAAAGTCATTAAATTAACGACAACCCTTTCAAAGGTCGTGTAACTTATAAGCATCTCTTTTTGGTAAGGTGAGCTTCTTTGTTATTTATTCGCCTTTCATCTGTTGTCCTTCAGGTATTGCATTCAAATTTCATGACCATAGCAAGTGTTGGAGGGACCTAAAAAGTACGAAGTAAATTGACAGGTGAAAAATCTCGGTGGAAATACCATCCTTTCACTGCCGCGAACTTAGATGAAGAGTTTTTGACCCACTTCCTTGTCGGAACAATTTGAGTATATCGATCCCTTTTAAATCCCCCCCCCATTCCATCTGAAGGGAAAAAAAATTATAGAGCCTATAAGTTAGCTTTTTAAAATTTGTTTAATTGTTTGACTGTTTATTTGTATGCTTAATAAGGCTGTGGGATGGCGTAGACTAACCGTCATGTGAAATCCTATGTATCAAGCAATCTGCAATCCAGACTCAAATGTAATACATGTATAGCCCCAAAGCCTAAATATGTGCCTTTTCAATCATTGAACAACTACGTTTACAACATTTTCCTGATAATATTGATTTATAATAAAACAATGTGGCTTTTTTCCTTTGTTATTAATATATATTTATTTATTTTATTTTATTTTATTTATTTATGTATTTATTTAATGTCAATCAGGAAAACATGTAGCACTTGATATTTCTTGCGAAGTGCGCAAAAGCAGAGAAAAGTTTTTCACGTAATTTTCATAACGTTTACATTTTACTCTACAATATACCGGTAACTCATTATTTGCCTAATATTTCCTCTTTTTTCTAACCAAACATTAAATTGACTAAATTTCAAAATACAATGGATTAATTTGCTCACATAAAATACTAAAGAGAATTCTGTTGCAATTAGTTTAAGGTTTTACAATTTTTTTGCTATTTTGACTGGACTATAAACTTCGTATAAATTGAATTTTACCCCACCCAAAGTTGCAGAACTGTAGACCCCCCCCCCCCCCAAAAAAAAAATAACACAAGGAATATATTTTTGTATTGTTACATTTTCTGTAGTTCAGATGTCTTTACTCAATGTTTTTGATACCCGACGCACTTTATGTTCAAAAAAAAAATCAGCAAAGGGTCATCAATCATATAAAAATATATCATATTGTAAATGAAAAAAATAGCTATAGTATTAAGAAATTATCATATTTGCCAACTTAAGGGTGTGTGTGTCGTTTCAAGCTTTCTAACTATTGCAATTTGTAGAAAATTTATAGAAAGTGTATGTTAATGTGAAATGAAATCCTTTTAAAAAAAAAATGATCCCGTATTTAATTTTCATTTTTGGTTGGCTTATTCGTTGCGTAACAAGCATTTTGCTCGACTTGGTCAGCTTTTTGATTTTTTTAAAATTAAATTGGAATAAATATAAAGTGCTGAGTATAATGAAAAAAAAAACAACTTTTTTTTCTACTAAAAAATGTAACGGTGTGTAACAAGAACATTTTATTTTACGAGTAGTTTTAGTTGTTTGAATTTCCATGCAAGTCTTGGATGAAAAAATGCAAGTCATATAGATTGACAACTGAAGATTCAACCCTTCAAAAGATTAGGGTGTTAGAAGACAGCTATAAGACGAAGTAGTGATCGGAACTGAAACAGGAACACATGCCATACGTTAATATGCATCGTGATTGTGAACAAACAAGGAACTGTTTTGCATCTTACACATTATATAAGTGAAACAGCGTCAACAGTGATATATTTAACTGTGGAAACAGGAAGATAAGGTATAAATTACATATATTCAGCAGCACTTTAAATACGAGTTTAACTCAAATACAGAAGGGCAGTAAAAATATATAGATTTAGGTCAGATGTACAGGGACATAGCATCGTTTTTTTAAAAAGGGGTCCGGAGGCATCCAAAAACAGTTAACTTATATAATTACATGAAAATGTTTGACAAACTCTTAAAAAGGGAAATTTTTAAAATCGTATTTCGTCGGGACGGGGGTTAGGTCGATCATAACTTTCTCAGAACCAAATTTTATTAATACATTGCCTTATTACCCAAAAAATATTGTTTGGGGAAAAGTTGGGAATAGACATCCCCCGCCTCTCTGACCTTCAGTTATTAAAAATATATTATTTCTTTATTCTTTGGATTTTTACAGCCACCGTAGAGGGCAATCCCCGCCCCACGTGTAGAGCAGTCAAATAAGGAATGACAAACCTTTAAACAAAATACATGTAACAAAATATACGTGACACTAATATTAAAACATGACTGTATACCATACATATAAACATGTAACATTTCAATTTACTGTGTGAAGATAAAAGCAAAATTTACAGTTTTAAATTTTGCATTAACCACCACCCAGGGAATTGGAAAATTCATATAACAGAAATCTTTTTATTTAATGAAAATAATGAGAAAATTATAATTACTTGCTTTTTGGTTTGTTTGTTTGTTTGTTTTTGTACTCTTAAAATTTGTTTTTAACCTTTTAATTAATATTCAGTATTTTTTTTCCTCAGGTCGACTCCTAATAACATTTTCCTTTATTATTGTAGACCCACTTACTTATTTAAAAGTTACATGTATTTTGTATAAGTTAATTATGAAAGCGTATAATCCTAATTATAGTTATAATTAATTCAAAATCGTGGATTAATTACATATGTAAACTGACTTCTTGTCCTCCCCTGCGTTTATTAAAGCTTTACTTAAAATGAAAATAAACCGCCTACACTATTTGAGCCATTTTTAAATTTCCTGATGAAAAAAAGTCGGGGGTGGGGGGTTACATTGTCATGCCTTATTATTCATTCAGTTCATTGATATTTTTTCATGCATACATGTTCATACAGAAACTTTTTTCCATAGTACCTGGGCTTATCATCTGCCCTGCAAATAAATCCCATCGTCTCTTGCTTCATATTTTAGTTTATTTCTTCACATGGTCCAAAGTACAAAATCTTTTCATTTTTTCTCCTACAAATTAGAGTGACGTTCGCCGGACAGTCTTACATAATGTGCTTTAAAAATCAATATTTAATACTCTCAAATAAATGTCCGCATAATTCTAAAACCACGTATTCAACACTGTGAAAATTGTAACAGTTTCATATATAGACTGTTTAACTTGGAACTTATTTTTCGCTTTCTTCTTTACATTATACTTTAATTAAATTGATCTATTATTTTAGTGTTTTTATTCTAAAGATTTTTTTTTAGTTTTAAAAGTTGGTCCAAAAATTACTTAGTACTTTCACCTATGTAGGCTTATTCTATGATGCTTATTATTTGAATTGGTGATTTTTTTTAATCGAATACAATACTTACAATGACGTTCAAACAAATTGTTACAGACTGAAATTTAAAAACTGCCTATTTGACTGCAACATTACTTGTTTATACAGAGTAGATAGAGGCAGCTCTTGTTCGAAATATAAATTTACAACATAAGACATACAGTAGAAACAGTCACGTAGTAAGTATGGGGAGGGGGGGGGGTAGAGGCCTGTCCCCTTTATTCAAACATAGATTTGACTACTGAAAGTTTCATTGAACCTATCCTCGTGGAACTTACCCCCCCTCCACCCCTTTCAACGTTAATGCAATAGGATTTCCGAGTTTTGACAATAATTTCTTTGTTTGTTTGTCATGTTATTTTTGAGGTTACTTGATTTTTCACCGACTGCCCCCCCCCCCCCCCTTCTATTTTCAAAAACGATGCTATACCTCCCTTAGAAAATATTGCAACAAATATAGAATCTAAGACCATTCAGGATTATCAAAAAATCCTAGTGTAGAGGGTAAAAGTACGAACAAAGACGTATGAAAAGTATACAAAATCATATATTCAATAAAATTAAACGTTTTCCATATATCCGATTGGTTTATGAAACATTTGGAGATAACGAACAGTATATTCAAGATCAAAAGTCCATAAAACAAGAGCAAACACGGACCTCCAAAATATCAGGGGTGGGATCAGGTGCCATGTAGGAGTATATATATAAATACATGTACATTGTATATATCCTAAATATTATAATGAAAATTAGATCAATTAAAAAAATGATATGTCAATTTATTATATCAGTTTTGAATTGTCTACTCTCTCAAATGAGATTCCTTGAATGCTAGGACACGGTGTGACTAATCACTTTAAAATACTTGAATGAGTAAGACCCCCCCCCCCCAAAAAAAAATGTTGAGTAAATGTACCCCCTCCCCTTTTCATAAAAAATTAGCATTATTTTGATTTTATTAAAAAATTATTTTACTTTTGTTGTTCTGGAATGTTTTATATGGAGTTGGTTGACATCATTCAGTAATTTCTTAACATTGTCATTGGATCTTCATTATATCATGCTATAATTATTTTATTTTGAAACAAAAATCTTATCCTGTTTGACCCCAAATCCCACCCCTCCCTCACGAATGCACAGATGAGTACACCGGACTCCATCATTTTTTTTTTTTTTTTTTTTTTTTTTTGTTAATTTTGAAATATCGAAACTATATTTTTGTCTTATCAAGTTATAGATAGAGCATGTAGAGAAATCATGACAATTTATCAAAAATAGCCTACGAGAGAGATGATTCCTGTGCGAAAACTCTTTTACTTATTTTTTTCTTCTACAGAAAATGATACTTTTTAAAATGATATTGAATATTAAAGATTTAATCATTGTATAAAGACACAATTTACAGATTATATATTACAGTTTTGAAAAATTACGTACATGTATTTTTCATTTTTCAACTCCGAGCAATTTAAGTAGACATCAAAATATAATGTTTTATGTATCTGAGTTTGTTGCTTAAACTCTTTATTATTAACCACTTACTTGTTTCTTTTCTTTCTTTTTTTTAAAAAAAAAAACACATTCTTGCGTTGAGGAAGAAATAATTCCCTATAAAAAATTATATAAAAATAATTCTAAAAAAGGAATCTGATACATGTATATGATATAATATTCTTTGTGCAAAAATCTTGTAATCTACTGGCAAGAATAACAGGAAACCCAATAGAAGAACTTTGTCGCGTTGATTGGTCGTGAAAATTACACATATCATATGTCAACGAATCAACTCCTCATCCAGTCAATGAGTTACGTACTATTGGAGCGTGTGTAAATACCGCCCTTGATAAGGTTTGTTGGTGCAAACCAATAGCAAATTTTTATTTCGTTTGGACATTGAAATAAATAAACAGAAAATGAAACAAAAACAAATAATAACTCTTTGTTGAAGTTTATTATGTTTTTTAAGTGAAGAATAATGAGTTTTTGATGAAGTTGGAGTAAAGAGAACGATACAAGGCACAGCCAGGCATGTAAAATTGGTTAGCCAATCAGATCACTCAAAGTCACGTGATATTATTTGGATTCCCACGATCGACACGAGGGTGAAATAATGCATCAAAACACGACATGACGGTTTATTTATATTCATGGGTGGGTATGTTGACCATCCCAAACCATATTTACCTCTAGACACTTTTTAGATCCAGGGCGTAAAACGTAAGCAATGAATGGTATCTATTTTTCTCATAGTTAACCCGAATTTTCTCTTGCTTCATTGAGAGACGGTCGAAGATGGAGGTTTTCAATGAGAGCTTAATCTATTATTTGTTTGGGAAATATATTGTCTTACTTCGTGTATGCTATTTTGCCATGAAATATCTCCCAATCTAAGTCAAAATGCATGCATTTTCTTTATTATTATTACAGTATGAATTTAAAACTTGACAGCTTATCAACAGATCAAGATACACTGCATGTACAGCACAAATGTTTAATTTACGAGGTCCAGCACAATCTCTTTAAAAAGCTATATAATGTTATATAGCTTTATTAGGCTATTCAAATTAGCTTGAAGTTTTTCATTAAACGTTTTCTGTAAGAAATAAACAAAAAGTCGCAAGTATTTGATATGTACTTTGGGCTAAGAAAATTACAACTCAAATCAGAGAAAGTTCTAACAATGCAGCTGTTGAGTAATTTTAAGCAAAAGATGAATTTCCATTGAGTAACTGGTCACAACCCTGTGTGCACTTAGGCATGGATAAGTATGATTGCTTCTCATTGTGCTGAACTGTTAACAATCAATTATCTTGTTGGCCATAACTGACCTCCTTCATAATTTCATTCAAGAAGTTACTGTCTGGTCACTCATGAATAGCCCAAAAACCTTTAGAACTTTGAATACGAAGTCTCAAAAGGAGACACACATTGGTGAGCAGTTTTTAAATGCATTGTATTCAGAAGAGTTCAAAGTTTATTATTTCTGCACTAAGGTGTGACTTTTTGTACATGCTGAGAAAATAACTCATTTGAGAAAAAAGTGAGGTAAAATAACTAAATCAAGCTATTCTGAATAGCTTAAGAAAGCTATATAGCTAAATCAAGAGATTATGCTGGACCTGTTAACAGGAGAACAATGTGTATGAGCATTGTAAATCATATATAGATAGAGAGTTTTTTGATGTTACCTTTCTCATTTCTTCTCAAATTCCCTGTGCATATAATACCATCCAATCAACCAGTGGTTCTTATTCTTTGTTCATCTTGGTATTCTCTTGAGAGAAGTGGTATTAAGTCTTTCTACTTCTCCAAAGAGATTAGCATCTTGGCTCTACTGACTCCTACTACTCCCTTCAACAGCTGTTCCACCTCTTCTGAGTCCTCTTTCTTCCCTCGCTATATTAGGGTAACGGGATGTTTCACATCTATGCATGGTTTGTGCTGCGATGTTTCGCACCAATTCTGTTTCGCGCTAAGATGGTTCGCCCCCACATTGTTGTACAAATATGTGCTAGTCTACTGAAGTTTGTTTAAAGCCGCTTAATCCAAAACAGGCACATATTATCTTACACAATAAAAGTTCGTCATTACATAGATAATAAATAAAAATAAATTATAGATTGATTTAACAGTTTATTACAACAATCCTTGCGTGGAAAACAGAGATCAAAAACCTTATTGACAAACAGAAGTTCCTGACAGGAAGTTAAGATCTGTTGTGAAGTCACCTTTGCAAAAAATAAATTTAATATCGATTTTATCTAATTATGAAGATAATTCAGACCCGAGTATTTTTTTTCCATTTAGTAGAAGCCTAAGTCATTGAATATAATCCATAGTAATTTTTATATTAATATGCATATTTAAAGAATAAAGGAAAAATCAGATATTTATTTTAAAGGAAATTTAGTAACGAAGGCTAAAATATTGTCAGTGTACAGGTATAAGTACTTTGTTGTGAAAAAATGCTCGGGTTTGTTCTTCATGAGATATACATGTAAGCGATAAATTTAATTTTTCGAAGGTGATTTCACGCGATATCAACATAGGATTATTTTTTGTGTGACCTAACAAAAATTATTTTTTTAACTTTTGAATTTTGATATCTTTTGAAAGAAAAAGACTTTGGGGATATAATTTGACAAAAAGTGAAATGTATATATTTTTTTAGCGATTAGAATCGGACCAAGCGGCTTTAACAAAGTTTTAGATTTTAAACATGTTACATGTATATCATCTGTATGATGTAAATTTTGATATTTTGTGAAACATTCTTTTTTAATTCAAGAAGATATTTGAAGCAAAGACATTTAATTATTTATGTCTATGTTTGAAGTATAGATAACATATAATTATGGATTATTTTAACACCATGATAATTATAATATCGCCATCTAATTAAGTAATAATTGATGGCTTTGACTACTGACATGTCAATTAATAAGTTATCACCTTCTGATCTCCAACTAAATACAATCAAATCCTCATGGAATTTGATGAAAACGATTCGTAATCTTTGGCAGTGCATATTATTAAGTCATGCATTTGAACACACAACATCTATATATGTATATCTTATGATTGATGAATAATTTTTAAAATGGATAAAAATGTCAGGGAATATTTAAAATAAATCGTGAGATGTTTCGCACCTAAATCGGCGCGAATCATCCGGGCACGAACCATCTCAGTGCGAAACAGAATCTGCGCAAAACATCCCGGATTCTATTTTAGAATCACCCAAAGTAGCATTTATTTCTGAAGATTTATTCCATCAATATCTAACTTATCCTTTACTATAAATACACTATACAGAACAGGAAGGCTCGTCATTGATCTTCCTGAGCTTTCAGTTTGTAATGGTTTGGGCCATGGATATCGGCCTTGGTAGCTCAGTTGATGGAGCACCTGACTAGAACTGTCTACAGCAAAACTCGTTTAGTACGAACACAGATACATGTATTGCGAATTTACAGATAAAGCGAAGTCATCTTGGATCCCCAGTTATATAAATTTAATGAATTTCTTATACGGTTATAACGAATTATGGATATGGAAAAGTAATTTCATAGGTCCCTGTGACTTCGTTTTAACCGAGTTTTAGTAGTGATGCAGGGGTCCCGGATTAGATACTTGGAGAAGCCATACATTCTCTCCTTTCCTGTTACAGATTTGGTGCTGTTAACCACCCAAGGCTCTGGACTTGCAGGTGAAAATCCTGCTAGGGGCTAAAAAGAACTTCGAGGGGGAAGACCATTTAAGGAGGGAGGAATGTAATGGTTTTGGCCATGGATATCGGCCTGGATGGCTCTGTTGGTAGAGCACCTGACTAGTAGTGATGCAGGGTGTCGGGTTCCATTCCCGTCAAGTCGTATACATTTTTTCCTTTCCTGTTACAGCTCTCTTGTAGATAGGGTACAGAGTATTACTGTGTTCTTGGGTTTCTTTCGGGAATTGTTCACCAAAACCAATCAAGGTCAATACATGTATTTGGTCATAAACTTTGCGGGCATTTTTACAAACCAGTTTTCTCTGGGAAATGTAGTAAATTTTTTCTACACTACATGGTTTTTCATTGTTTTTCTTGCTGATTTGGTATGCCCTTTCATTTGAATGTAATCCACTAATTGTTTTTCTGTTTGAATGTCATTCACTTTTCTAGATTGGTTGGTATTGAGAGATTTTGATACAAAATTATACTGTAAACCAACTTTTATTCACGTGTGAGAAATATTCGTGAGATTCATGGTCTACTTGAACTCGCGAATATTAATCGCCACGACCCATTTATTTTGCTTTTTTGTTTGTAGAGAATATTTGCTCAGTCGCGAAAATTAATTGTTGCGGATTGATTTCATACTGACAAATCGCCAATAAAAGATGACCTGAAAATAGTTGGTTTACAGTAGTTTTTTTCCTACCTGAAGTACATTAGTATTTTGTCTTTTGATATCTTATTCAAACTCGAATAAAATGATTCAGTAGACTGTACATTTTCAAGTTTAAAACTCATAATATCAAACTGAGAAAAAAATTCCTTGAACCTATCGAGGGAAGTGCTCGATTGGAAATTCTGCAATTGTGACTGCACTGGTAATGCAGTTTGTATTGCTGTTTACATGGGTATACAATATTGATTGTATGAAGTGTAGCTGATGATTGCATGGATACAATACCAAAGTCCTTTGTATTGAATGTGTTAAACAATAAAGATTCCTTGCTGATGCTCTTGAGTTGCTGCCAAATTAGTTTTCACATTCAGTTAGCCTTGCATTTATAGCTAATTTTATTGAGAGTTGCAAAAACTGTTAAAACAAAAATGTGGGGACCCTTTACCTCTGACCAGCATGACAATAACTATATTACTTATGTTGCATTGACCATGGAGATTGTGATTATAGGCATTTGTGCCAGCTACTCAATTTACTTCTTGTGTAAAGATGAAATTCAGTAAAATCTTTTTTTTTTTTTAATATAGGAGACAGTCATACATGTGTGCTACATTTTAATACTCAGCACACCTTTTTTATTATAAGTATCTGTAACATTTTGTAAGTATTTTTTTAACATTTAAAGGATGAAGTTTTGATCAAAGTGATAATTATTTAATCATTATCTACACTTGTATCATACAGTATGCTAGTTTACTACTATCAGCTGTTTTCAACAGCTGTACGTGTGTTTAAGTATCGATCATTATAAATGTCAATAGACTAATCTGGATTTTATAGTAAAACCATAGGCAATCCCCATCTTAACTTAATAATTAATGAAGATATAATTATATTCTTTTGTCAAGTGTACCATACATGTATATACTGTAGATTTTCACGTAATTTTGCGAGAAACATCACTTGCAAAATAAAAATTACTCGCTTTTTAGCTCACCTGAGCCGAAGGCTCAAGTGAGCTTTTTATCACATTTTAAAATCCATGTAAATTCATTTTCGACTTCTTCTCAAGAACCGCTGGGCCAATTTGCAACCAAACTTGCCACAAAGTATCCTTGGGTGAGGGGGATTCAAGTTTGTTCAAATGAAGGGCCACACCCTTATTCAAGGGGAGATAATTGGGAATTAATGAAAATTTAGTGGTATATTTTAAAAATCTTCTTCTCAAGAACCACTGTGCCAGGAAAGATGAAACTTATGGGGAAACATCCTCAGGTAGTGTAGATTCAAATTTGTTCAAATCATGACCCCCGGGGGTAGGGCGGGGCCAAAATGGCCAACCAAAGTTTTACATAGAAATATATAGGAAAATTCTTTAAAAATCTTCTTCTCAAGAATGACAAAGCCATAATTCATCATATTTATATGGGAGCATGCTCATGTAGTGTAGATTCAAGTTTGTTCAAATCATGACCCTAGGGGGTAGGGCGGGGCCAAAATGGCCGACCAAAGTTTTACATAGAAATATATAGGAAAATTCTTTAAAAATCTTCTTCTCAAGAATGACAAAGCCATAATTCATCATATTTATATGGAAGCATGCTCAGGTAGACTAAGTGTAGATTCAAGTTTGTTCAAATCATGACCCCCCGGGTAAGGGCGGGGCCAAAATGGCCGACCAAAGTTTTACATAGAAATATATAGGAAAATTCTTTAAAAATCTTCTCAAGAATGACAAAGCCATAATTCATCATATTTATATGGAAGCATGCTCAGGTAGACTAAGTGTAGATTCAAGTTTGTTCAAATCATGACCCCTGGGGGTAGGGCTCCCCTGTCTTGAGTGATTGACTGACCTGGTAAAATTTGGCAGCTGGAACATGCACAGTCACTACATTGAGCCCAAATGGATCATGCATGTCTTTGATGTTTGTATCTCTCCAAGTTCAGTGAATATTTTAATTTCTGAAAGATTTTACATTAAAAAAGGAGAATTGATTACAGAAGGGTGAAGGTTCAAGGTGTTTCCCCATTAATATGTAGCAACCCTGTTATTCTTAATTGAAGAGCGTGCACAATGGACAGCATGGAACACCTTGATCCTATCCAGAAATATTCCAATAAGCAACGCTTCCCTCTGTGTGTATAGAATATGTAGAGAGAAAGAGCAAGGAGAAGGAAGTATTCCTATAGGCTGTATGTTGTATGAGGCTTTAATGTGTTGCTCATTGGTTGCTTGTTTTCCTGTCTTAGCCTGAGTGTCTGCACCATACTCAGATTACTCAGCATAAACACTGTCTTAGATACCCTTAATATAACCTTCCATGTACACAAAGAGTGATAAAAGGTGTTCGCATATTGTGAAATTTAATAAATCACAGAATTTCCAATATGGAAGGACGTGTGAAGTGTTTGTAATTCATTGGTCATGAATTAGTTTTATATTTAAAAAAAATGGTTTGTGCTTTATTTGGCTAACACCAAAAGGGGTTAGGATTTGTCCATTGTTTATCTGTTTTTCTTTTAGTTTACCTGTTAGCAATCCTTGGAACTTAAACAGATTTAAGGTGTCTGCCTGTCTGTCAGTAAAAGAAACTTTCAAATCCTACTTCTACAAGTTTGGTCTCTTTTCAGTTGGACTTCAAACACAAATAGATTCTCCTATGATGCATATTTCTAACTGAAATTTCTGATTTACAAAAAAAAGTACTCCTACAGTTTTTGACTAATGTAATCAAGATAGAAATTTAACTTTTATACGGTATTTCTAGGATATTTTTTTTAAAACTTAGCATGAGATCTCTAAATATGCCTTTTAGCCAGACAGTGATTAATCTTTATGAACACATGATGAAGAAAGAAAAGAACAGAAGAAAACAATTTATTGATTGTCAAATTCAATTTATATTAAAATTTTATAAATCTTATTTAGAATCTGTGAATTAATTATATTGTGGTAGAAATTATTGACATTCATAAAAATACCACAGACTATGAAATTGAAGACTTTTTAAAGATATAATTATGTGATATATTGTGGTAGAAATTGTTGACTTTTAATTAGAAGATACATTTAGTTATATGATATATTGTGGCAAAATGGGAGGTCAACATTACCGCTACATTACGAAAAATTTCATCTCACTACCACTACATGTTCTCAAATTTTCAGGCATTGCCAATCGTTACCGCTACATTTTATCAAAAGGATCAAAGCCTTTGATCTAAGGACTGAGATTGATTTTAAACATCTCCCATTTTATATTCATTGTAGAACTTTCAGAGAAAAGGGGGGAGGGGGTATTTCATTGCATCTTAACATCAGTTGTCTGTGAACATTGTCCTGATTTTTATCAGAATTAATATCATTTTTTAAAGGGAGCAAACAGTTATGGACAGTTAGGACTTGGAACTCGAGATGACCAGCTGCTTCCTCAGAGAGTCCCCCTCCCTGACCTCTATGATGCCTCTCCCCCACTGACGCTGGTTAACAGGATTCGGTCAGTCACAGGCGGGGGCGGTCATTCCATTATAGTAAAGGGTAAGCAACAACAGATATTTATGTTTTCAGAAATGCTGTGAGGACAAGAGCAATTACTTCCCAAGTTGGGGTGTGTCCAATGAAAAAAGTTGCCAAGGAGAATGGTAATGAACATGCAAAATGGCTTAAAGTTTATATTACATGTGATATTTTTATCAGAGAAAAAATACACAGATATAAATTCAACTAAGCAGTTGCAGGCAACTTCAAGCATTTTGGTGCATACATCTAGATATACATGGCATTTTAAAAATTTTCTTTCGAGAATTAAGACTTTTCAGGGCATGGGTCATTTCTTTTGTATAGACACTAATATTGATTTTAGATTTACTGAAAACATAGTTTTGCTTTCCCCAGCTTTGGCAAGATTTTGTTTGAAATAGGCATTTTAATTTTCTCCTCTTTAGATGATGGTAGTCTCTTTGTCTGTGGCTCTAACTGTAAAGGTCAGCTTGGATTGAATCACTGTAATGACGTGCCAAGTTTCACCAAAGTTGATTTAGCAGAGGCGGTTCAGAAGGTGTCAGCTGGCTGGGACTTCACAGTAATTCTTACAGGTAGGTAAACTGATTGTCCTATACAGATTACACAAGTTGTAATATGCAATAGATTTAAATGTAAATTGTTGAAAATTGATTTGTTGTTAATTTTAATCCGCAACGGTTTACATGTGAGTCAGACCATTTCAGGAGTTTCAATCCCTAAATTTTTGGACATTCTGTTGAATTATCTCCATTAAGATTACCTACTTGTATATGTATTTGCATAAAATTTCTATCAAAACGAAAACCCAAAAAGGATGTTTTTAGATCCTTCCATGTGTAGTAATCAACAGATCATGACCCCCTGGGATAGGGCAACATCACAATAGCAGATCAAAGTTTTACAAAAGAATACATTAGAGAAAATCTTTAAAAATTCTTTTTAAGCCATATACTGTGAAATCACATATTTCCGTGGGGGTTTAATTTTCGTTGTTTTCAAGGTATGAAGAGACCCTTGAATTTATGTTCACCTCGAAATGTAAAATGTTTCATGCATAACCACTAAAAAGTTTTCCATCCACGAAATCAAATCCCCATGAACAAAGATTCTTTTTCCTCAAACCACGAAAATTCGACCCCACGAAAATATGTGATTTTACAGTAATTGAATTGTCATTATGTATGGAAGCATCCTCAGTTACTTTAGATTCAAGAAAGTACAAATCATGTCCCCATTCTTACTCCTCCCAGTATAGGGAGGGGTAGGTGGGGGCCACTATTTAATCTTTTCAATTGTAATTGATTTCTGCTCTAGCCAAAAACATCAGGTGAGACATGTGACCCATTGAACCTTTTTTGTTGCATGCTGCAGACAATCCAGGAATTAATAATATTTTCCAAAGGGGTATGTATGATGTATGAAACAAATTTATATTTAATTAATAAATTTATAGTTTTTTTTCATTTGTAGAAAAAGGAGACATTTTTGTATGTGGCTCAAATGAGTTTGGACAGCTGGGTTTTCACCCAGGGAGACTTCCTCAAACCTTAACACCTGTAGGTAGGACTGAATTACTCAAACCTTAACACCTGTAGGTAGGACTGAATTACTCAAACCTTAACACCTGTAGGTAGGACTGAATAGCTCAAACCTTAACACCTGTAGGTAGGACTGTATTACTCAAATCTTAACACCTGTAGGTAGGACTGTATTACTCAAACCTTAACACCTGTAGGTAGGACTGAATTACTCAATCCTTAACACCTGTAGGTAGGACTGAATTACTCAAACCTTAACACCTGTAGGTAGGACTGAATTACTCAAACCTTAACACCTGTAGGTAGGACTGAATAACTCAAACCTTAACACCTGTAGGTAGGACTGAATTACTCAAACCTTAACACCTGTAGGTAGGACTGAATAGCTCAAACCTTAACACCTGTAGGTAGGACTGAATAGCTCAGACCTTAACACCTGTAGGTAGGACTGAATAGCTCAAACCTTTGCTCTTGTAGGTAGGACTGAATTACTCAAACCTTAACACCTGTAGGTAGGACTGAATAGCTCAAACCTTAACACCTGTAGGTAGGACTGAATAGCTCAGACCTTAACACCTGTAGGTAGGACTGAATAGCTCAAACCTTTGCTCTTGTAGGTAGGACTGAATAGCTCAAACCTTAATACTTGTAGGTAGAACTGAATTACTCAAATCTTAACACCTGTAGGTAGGACTGAATAGCTCAGACCTTAACACCTGTAGGTAGGACTGAATAGCTCAAACCTTAACACCTGTAGGTAGGACTGAATAGCTCAAACCTTAACACCTGTAGGTAGGACTGAATTGCAAATCTATATTCTATATACAATAGCAAATCTATATACAAAACTTTCTTAAACCTTAACACCTGTAGGTAGGACTGAATAGCAAATTTATATTCTGTACACAATAGCAAATTTTTGTACAAAAACATGTATATGTAGGTACGGTATATACTCGCCTATAAGTCGGTCCGCCTATAAGTCGGTTGTATATTTTGACATAATTTTGGTGGGATTTGCCATTGACGCGCTTATAAGTCGGTACGATTTTTTTGCCCAAATCTGGTAATAATTGCAAGTAAATCCATCGATGTTTTAACCTGGTTTCAATTAATATTTTTCGAAATGACACTGATATTTAATCTTAAATTATTTTTAAAAAAGGCAATGCTCACTTAAAATACAAATAAAATTATTAAAATATGTAAATACTTGTACTTTATATATATAATCTAAGAATACATAAATTATCTTCCATACTCCCAGATGCTTTCTTTGATAATCGTCGGAAATGCAAATGAGATACTACCTTTCAGCCTCCAGAAAAATACCAATCTTTTTATGACTCGCCTATAAGTCGGACATAGAGTTTTAGACCAATATTTAACTCCCAAAATACTGACTTATAGCATACATGTTAACCTATTGTGATGAAAAAGAGGGAGATTCAGACCTCAAAAGCGGTAGCATTGCGCGCGTGTTGTTTAACGCTTGGATTATCGATATCTTTCATGTAATATAAATGTATATTATAAGCCTTAAATGAAATCAGGTACCTACACTAATTAATCTTAAATATCAACAGCAAAGAAGAAGACAGAAACACCTTAAGTTTGACATAAATTGTACAAATTCAAATATTTTTCATGCTCATCATTTTGCTTGGATTGGCTGCTTTACTTAGCCTTTTGAAGAGTGATCTTTGCTGAAATAGCCTAGAAGCAATAATTCTGAATGTTCATTCAGTTTTTAAACAAAACAAATGATGGCATGGTTTAATCTAGATCTAAAACAAGTTCGTATCAATCAGGTTTCCCGCGATGATCGAAAACGAAAGTAGAGATGTGCCACATGGCTTGGTCAATCGAGTGATTTCTATTGCCTTTATTGATAAAGTTGTGAGCTTCTGTGCTTTTAAAGACGATGTCAAATGTTTTCATCTAATTCTTAAAAGCTGTATCTCCTTTTTCATGGCAGGGATGTTGATTAATTTATCGTAACCAATGTAATCACTGGTAGTCTTATGTTGTTGTCGTTGTCAAATCCATGCTTGAAATCTATGTACAAAAAAAGCGTTTGTATGATTCCGAGTCAAATCACGCGATATCTAGCGAGATTTTATGAGAGTGGCCTCAAAAATGGATACCCAAGCGAACAAAAAATACTTTAGACGCAGCTTTTGTAGAAAAGCGGTAGATTTCTGAATAAAATCGGTAGGCGGGAGATGGAGTGAAAAAGCGGTAGACTCCCGCCTAAATCGGGAGAGTTAACATGTATGCTTATAGGCGAGTATATACTGTACTTGGGCCAGAAAACTATTTTACTTTTTATGTTAACAGGTTTACAGATTTAAAAGCAATTTAAATAAAATTAATAATTTTATAGGATATTTTTGATTGCACAATACTTCTTTGTATTCACATTGTGAAGAAACACCTTTTATACAAAAACAGATTGCATGTATACTCTTACGGAAAAGTTTTATTATAGATGAAAGTGCCACTACCAGAAAACTATTGGAAAATAATTGATATTGCTGCAGGTTTGAGACACACATCAGTTTTGACAGGTATGTTTATTTAACACAATTTATCATTGGTGCATGTATCTTGAACATTGATGTATTAAATACCATGGAAGTCCCAACCCACTTTATATTCTTAGTATTTTTCTCTGAACATCTTGAACACTTTGATATCTCAATGTTTTTCATCAGACCTACAGGCAGATATCAAATCTAATTTTTCAGAGGTCTTGTTTTACCTAAAGGAATTTTTTATGCTTCCGTAATAAATTCAGCAAATTAAGTTTTGAATTCTCAAACCTTATCTTGATCTATTGATTTTTATCCCCCCCCCCCACCCCATTGAAGAAAGGAGGGCATATTGCTTTGCTGCTGTCTGTCGGTCGGTCTGTCAGTCCATTTAGTTTCTATTCATTTTTTTCACAACCATTGCACATACTGAAATGAAATTTGGTGTACAGGTATATCAGATGAATATGTAGGTCAAGTTATGTTTTGAGTACGATAGCACCATAATTGACAGAGTTATGCCCCTTGAACTTAGAAAAATTCCAATTATTTGAAGTTTCCGTTCATTTTCTTCGGAGAGGTTGCACATGTTGAAATGGAATTTAGGATACAGATTAGTCAGATGAATATCTAGGTCAAGTTCTGTTCTGGGTATGCTCCCAACATTTTTGACAGAGTTGTGCCCTTTTGGACTTAGAAAAATTCCAGTTTGTGGGGGAGGGGGGCATAAGTGTTTTACAAACATCTCTTGTTTTTTTTCCCCACATTTCAACTTTCAAATAACAGTATATATATGTCATATAATCATTGTGTATCTTTATTAAGCATTCACTCACTGATTCTTTCACCTCACTCATCCATTTTAGTATCACCTACATATCTAGGATCTATTGATTTTTTTTTTTATCAGTAAGCCCATTACATAAAAACACACATGTGATGCACTTAATAGCTTGGACTTCTCCAATATGATTTTGATGACGCTACACAATTCTAATTTAGAATGTAAAAATTCCAGCCTGGGTGTTTTATGGACTGTGTTTTTTGTTGTTGTAATTTTTTTATTTATATAAGTATCCTTTTAAGGATGGAATCTAATTCCTGTAAATTTTTTCTTTGAAAATTTAAGATATAATGTATTTGGAAACTTATGCTTCACCCAGCACACTGGTTAAAGAAACTAAATACACTAAGATTTTGATCACATGACCTTGAAGTTTGACCTAGATTTTTAGCTCACCTGAGCCAAAAGCTCAAGGGAGCTTTTCTGATCACAATTTGTCTGTTGTCTGTTGTCTTGTCGTCGTAGTCATCGTTGTAAACTTTTCACATTTTTGACTTCTTCTCAAGAACCGCAGGGCCAGTTTCAATCAAACTTGCCACAAAGCATCCTTTGGTGAGGGGGATTCAAGTTTGTTCAAATGAAGGGCCATGCCCTCATTCAAGGTGAGATAATTGGGGATTAATGAAAATTTAGTGGTATCTTTTAAAAATCTTCTTCTGAAGAACCACTGTGCCAGGAAAGATGAAACTTATGGGGAAACATCCTTAGGTAGTGTAGATTCAAATTTTTTCAAATCATGACCCCCAGGGGTAAGGGTGGGGCCACAATGGCCGACCAAAGTTTTACATAGAAATATATAGGAAAATTCTTTAAAAATTTTCTTCTCAAGAAAACCAAAGCCATAATTGATCATATTTATATGGAAGCATTCTCAGGTAGTGTAGATTCAAATCTGTTGAAATCATGACCCCCGGGGGTAGGGCAGGGCCAAAATGGCCAACCAAAGTTTGACATAGAAATATATAGGAAAATTCTTTAAAAATCTTCTCCTCAAGAATAGCAAAGCCATAATTGATCATATTTATATGAAAGTATCCTCAGGTAGTGTAGATTCAAATTTGTTCAAATAATGACCCCCGGGAGTTTGGCGGGGCCAAAATGGCCAATCAAAGTTTGACATAGAAATATATAGGAAAATTCTTTAAAAATCTTCTCCTCAAGAATAGCAAAGCCATAATTGATCATATTTATATGAAAGTATCCTCAGGTAGTGTAGATTCAAATTTGTTCAAATCATGACCCCCGGGGGTAGGGCAGGGCCAAAATGGCCAACCAAAGTTTGACGTAGAAATATATAGGAAAATTCTTTAAATATCTTCTTCTCAAGAATAGCAAAGCCATAATTGATCATATTTATATGGAAGTATCCTCAGGTAGTGTAGATTCAAATTTGTTCAAATCATGACCCCCGGGGGTAGGGCGGGGCCACAAGGGCCGACAAATTTTTACATAGACATATAGGAAAAAATTTTTTTTCCTCCTATCAAGAATAACAAAGCCATGATTGGTCATGGGACTACTTTTGGATATAAACTATTCAATAATAAACCAATTTCTACTTTTTCCTAGCCACAGTGCTCAGGTAAGCGATGTGGCCCATGGGCCTCTTGTTAAAAATATTATCTTTCCTTATAACTTTTGATAGAGAATAGATCATGGAGATAGGGCTTCCATCTTTGACATGTGCATTGCATAAGATGTTTCCGAACATGCTATAATTTTTTACCCTTTGACCTTGACCTTCATGTTTGACCTAATTTTCAAAATCTTAAATTTGTGTTAATTTGGTATGACATAAGATATGGCTTATATATTTGACAAAATATGGCATAAATAATGGCATCCCATCCACTAAGACACTGAAAGTGGGGGATCACAATTCTTTGAACATAATTATTTTTTGAAAGCTTAGTATTCTTAATTCCTTATACCTGTATAAAGAATTTGTGTAACTCTATTTATCAAATTTGTAATACGGTACACAGGTACAGTGGAACCTCATTTACCTGGATGCTTTGGTTCCTAGTCAATTTGTCCGGATATGTGAAGCGTCCAGATACGTGAATCACCAGTTAAACAAGACAATATAACATTTAAAAATTCCGTCGTGATGAAAAATCATCCGGATGCTGAAACAGCCGGATATCTGGGGTCTGGATATTTGAAGGTCCACTGTATACAAGTTTTTGTTCAAGACTATCACTAACAAATATGTTAAGGAAGAAATTCTTACAAAACATTATGTTTCAAATATATACAAAAAACGACAAAAGTGTTTATTTTTTCAGCGATTTCCAAGTGGTTTACAACTGAAACATTCTAATTTACTAATATATATGATGACTTTTATATGCATAAAATATAAGAAAAGATTTAAGAAACATTTATTCACATCCAAGACTATTTTAGAAAATGGTGATGGTTTATAGCCCGACTTCAGTGGAAAATAGCATCTAACCCCCCCCCCCCCCCCCTCCCCTTATTTCAAGAGCTGAAATTAAGAATATTTTACTATTTAGCACTGGTATTAAAATAACTAATCAACTACCATTGAATTGTTCTATTTATTAAACAAAGATTTTATAGTCAAATTTTCTTTAATATTTAATTAAATGGTTGTAAAATGTAGGCAGGAAACGGGAATTAGCGTGAGTAGTTCTTTTGATATCTTTAAAAATTTGTTATAAAAGATGTTATAATTTCATTATTTTTAAACTCTATGGGACTCAAAATCAGTTTGCTACATCCATAAATTCATGATTTCAGAGTTATATTGTTATAACTATAAAATTTTAGAAATAAATGTTAAGAATATTGTCAGGAAAAACTTTGCTATATCTGTGAATTTGGTATGTTCATGTTTGTACTAAAAGAGATTTACTGTATACATCTAGTACCCAGTACATTTAAATTGACCAGAAAAAAATAGTAAGTTTAACTATGCATGATTATAATTTCCATTATTTGTATTTTAGCATGGGTTGGCGCAATTGCTTTGAGAACTTTGATTAAACACATGTTTGCTTTTAAGATAAAGTAGTTTTCAAGTGGAATATTTAGCTTTTCACCTGTCAGTAATGACCATAATTTTCAAAAACAGACCCCCATATTCTTAATATGTTCTAGTAGATAACAAACATCCTCTTTGTTATTAGTTTAAATTGTCATGTAAATTTGTCAATAAGGTTAATTCTATTGTACAAGTGTTTAATTAAACCTAATGCTGAGTTCCTGTCTCTTCCTTGTACCAAGTGCTGTAACTATTATTAAGGATTTAAGTATTGTATTGAATCTACTTGATGGCATATCAATGCCATAGTGAAATCAATAAGTTAAGAACTAATCCAGACATTCAAATGAATAAACTTACTGTGAAAGTTTGATTAAACCATATTTTCCCAAGCAAAGGGTTCGTGGTCAGCTTACATTTACAGACAGAGAACCCTTGGCTTGCAAACTTGACTTTAGTCTATTGGAAGATTTTTTATTGTCTCAATATGGTTATTAAAGAAAAAATGTTCAATACATGACAATCATGATAACTTGTCCAATGGAAACTTTGATGGGAAAATATACATTGTTTTGACACTTTGATGGACACTTTGCATATTTACAATACAACCACAGAGGGGTAAAACACAGATAAGGGCATTTTTTCATTGGTTATATTCTTCTCAAAACTGACCATCTCAGATTTTCAAAAATTTGTGAAAAAATAAAACTGATTTGTTTTTCAGTAATCAATCTTTTTTTTAGTGTAATTTTATTATATAAGCTTTTTATATTCTTTTTATACCCATATTAAATGGATGCTAAAAACTTTGACTATTAATATTGGAATTTATCAATATAAACTAGCATGCACATACTGAAATGAAATTTGGTATTTGGTCTATCATGTGAATATCTAGGGCAAGTACTGTTTTGGGTACAATTGAGCTATTTGGGACAGATATATGCCCCTTGGACTTAGAAAAATTCCAATTAATATGGGGAAGGGGGGCATAAGTGTTTTGCATATAAACATCTCTTGTTTCTTTTTTTCTTTTTTTTTAGATACTTATGCAGTTATGGTCTTAAAATCCACAACCTTAGAAATTTCATTATCAACACTTAATTTAATTGACAGTTTAAATATCTATTGCTGAAAATTCTTTTAATCTTGAATGCCAATTGGTCACGAAAGGGCAGACAAACATTTTTATACAGATGGCCTAAAGTGTATTTCAAAAATAACAAAAATTTCAAAGGGAAATGAATGGGTAGCAGCAATTTTGATGAATTGATTGGGGATCGTATATTACATCAAACAATTCATTTTTATTATTGACCCCATTAGATTTATTAAATTATACAGTTGTATAATTACATAAGACATACACTTTATGATTATGTACACAGTTCCTTGTAAATCATTAATCCTTGAACCATGAATAATTAATTACTTTAGTTTTGTTCGAATAAACATAACAATTATTGGATATGACCACCATCACCTGACCTCTAACAAATTCAGCATAGCCTACTTTTTTGATGTGTTAGTACATCTTGGACTGAACATATTAAAAGTTACTGTTTTCATCACATACTCTTTATGAAATTGAAAATGTGTGAAGAATTAAAATCTGTTCATTTTGCAATTGACCGAGTTTTGGAGGTGACATATGCAGGATTTTAGGTCATGTCAATGAATGACAGATATATTTATTATATTATCTTTTTACCTGAACAAGCAATATATGTTATATTTTGACGTATGTTAATTTTAGCACAATTTATGGGATAGCACATGCAGTAAAATGTAGAGCTTTAAATTCATTGGATGAATGCAATAATTGACTTGTTACTTCTTATTTTAATTTTTTTTTACATTCTTTCAATAATTTAAGATTACTTTTGAATGTTTTTTTAAGAACTTTTCCTGGACTGTAATGAAAATGTTCTATTTTTAATATCTCCCTATAATAAAATATTTGAGGCAAAAGGTTTTAACTCTGACAAATTTTTTTTTTTTTTCAAAGTTTTATTCTCCAATAGCTCCCTATTAAAAATACTGGAAAAACAAGGAACTTTGCATATTAATTTGATCTCCAGAATTAGAAAGTTATTAATAACAATGATAAGTATTTACCATATTTTGATTGGATCTCGACCTTTACAGCTGAAGGAAAAGTCTACAGTTGGGGGATCAAAAGAAAAATCAAGGATGAAGATCTACTGAATGAAGCAGTGAAGAAATCCATAGAGATACCAGTACTAGGAAAAGGTATTGTATTCCAGCACTGGGAAAGGGTATTGTTTCCCAGAGTACTAGACATCTGTAGAGATCCCAGTACTAGGGAAAAGGTAGTGTATCCCAGTAAATGTACTAAAAACAGTAGAAATTGCAGTTCTAGGAAAACGTACTGCAGAATGTGAGGCCCATTTTAAAATATCCAATTAAAGCTTAACTTGTACCAAAATCTCCAGTAAGATATATCAAAAAATGTATATCTGTACCTGTAACACTGTATGCAAGGGATAAAATTGATCCCACAAAATATGGAAAAAGGAAGACATCTCCAGAAAGAGGAAATTTCAATAGATTAAGTGAAAAGAAGACGGGAATAGTAAAGATGCATACATTTTGAGTGATGGCTATCAATAGTGGATTTTATTTTTTGTCTTCTTTACAGAGATGCCTGTTGGAGACAAGATTGTGAAGCTGTGTGCTGGTTCATTTCATACCTTAGTTCTCACAGGTAATGTTTTTTCCACCAAACACATAGTGAATTTATGTTGTTTAATTTAATACCAGTACTGAGATCAGTGAGATGCCACCACTTGCCCATGGAGAGCTACAAATTAATGTAGACCTGTCATCGGCACTTACAGCCTTTGAGCACTGAAGGGTCTTAGCACATACTTCAACTTAAATTATTAGTATTTCAAAAAATTATAAAGAGTAATAACCACAATTCATGAAAATTTTGTCTCACTAATAAAAAGTAAAATGGAAATATTGTGAAAATAAGGTGGCACAAAAATTTATTGATCTACAGCAATTGTATTTTCTTCAGAAAACGGGAATCTGTTGATTTTTGGAACTTTGAAATATGGAACATCCACACAGGAGAGTTTGTCCAAAGGGGATTCCATACAAATAGCTTCCATTCCCAACTCTCTATTTGATAGTCCCATAATAAAAATTGCAAGTGGTTGGACACATTGTCTAGTAGAATCAGGTTTGTAGCCCTAAAAACTTTAGGTAGATGAAATGCTTTCATTCAATCTATTTGTTTAGTCTATTCTACAATACATTTATAAATAAAGTGCAGTTAATGCTGATTTTAAATGTAATTCACTAGAAAATCGGGGGGTTTTATAAACTATGAATTCACAATAGAACTAAATCACAGAGCTACAGAGTCATTCTCAGTGAGAATTAAAGAAATTGGCTTATGAGTCATGATTTAATTTTTTTATTTAATGTAATTATTTCACCAAGTTTCAACAAAATTGATGAGAGTCAATTTCCATCCCATTTTGATGCTAACAGAGAATGACTCCGAATTATCCACCTTCCAAAAAGAAATAAAGACAAGTATGCCATATATATAATTGTATACGTAAATTATCATAGAAGACATAGGTATAAACAGTTTATTAGTATATTTCCTCTTCAAGTGTAAATGAGTGCAATTCTGGGAGAGGGAGTACTCTGTGTAATTCGGAGTTGGTCACCTTGTGTTTATTATTTACTATGGGTCAAAAATTTATTACTGAAACAAGTACCTGCATGTGTATCAGAGACTTTACTTGTACATCTCCTATATAAAGACGATTGTCTTGCAGGTCTCTGTAAACCTTGCTAAAAAATGATACATGTAGGTAATTACAATATTCTTTATTATATAAAAAGATGCTTTTATTTTTGTATTCTTTTTTATTAGCAAGTGGAAAAGTATATTCCTGGGGCAGAGGAAATTATGGTCAGCTTGGTCGATCATGTGACCACTCACATGACAGTAAACCACAACAAATACAAGAGTTACATGGAATAAAGTCACTAGAATGTGGTTCTGAGCATAGCTTAGTCACAACAGGTAAAATGATTTCAAATAAATTTTACACTCTTTCTTATGAAAATTGTGGGTGTTTTCATTGTTATCCCTTTCTGTCTGTAATAATCAATTTGTGTCCTAACCTTCCACAGACTTTTTGCACATGATTGATTTGGTTAATAATGTAAATTTGTTTTCTGGAGGGAGCAAAATTTTAACAGCTATTTTTGCAGTGTGTATGCTTATTAAGACAGTGACTATTAACTTCGTTGTTTGGAATTCATTTCATCCCACAATATTTTGTCAGTATTCAAAATTATTTGCATTTTTCAGCTTATTTTACTTGATGAATGAGACTGATGGCTGCAATGGTTTGCTTTGGTTGTAGTTGATGGGAGATTGCTTGCTTGGGGTTGGAATGAACATGGGATGTGTGCCACGGGAAATGAGGACAACGTACAGACCCCCACAGCAGTTAAAGCCCTGTCTGATTTCTTGTGTCTGGACTGTGGATCTGGTGCTGGTCACTGTTTTGCCCTGTGTAAAGATAAAACTTGATCCAGAATCTTCACTGAAATGCCTTTGTAATAAATGTAACACAATATTGTATAGGGTATAAATTATTGTCTGTGTCCTTGTAAATATATCTACATATTGATGAGATGCATTTTTATTAAATACATTATCCCACCTCATGTATTGTGGATTCTTGTCTGCTTAGGTCATGGCCCTTAGTGGTAAGGGTGGATCACGATGTTTTTTTCTTATTAGGTTTGTTACTGAGTGTTTACAGAAATAAATTGGTTTGATCAATCTCATAGATGAAGAGGCAGAACAGAAAAGCAATAATTACCTGGTACTTTAGTTATATACTGAATCATCCTCAGGTTGTATAGATTCTAGTTTGTTCAAATCATGACCCATAGGGTTAGGATAGGCCCACAGTGGGTAGTCAAAATTTTACACATATAGGAACCAAATTAATAAAATGTGTTTGTGAAACACTTATGCCCCTGTATGGCAGCTTATGGCAATGCAACTTAATGCAGCTTATGGAAATGCCCAAATACCAGACATATAACAGTTCTTGCATTAAAGGTTTTATAAAGTGGGCCAAACTCTTACGTCAATTAAGGCAAAGGAGTCAAAATAAATGGTTCCCAGGATAAGGCTTTCTTAAAAGAAATACACTAGATGTCTAATATAAAAGCCCTAGTACCAACTGCTCAAAAGTTGTAGGCAAAATCAAAGTTTTTTCATAAAAGGTCATCAAACTTGGTATCCAAAGGAAGGTCTTGTCACAAGGAGTTCATCTTTGATATATTGGTATGAAATATGTCCAGTTAAAGTTCAAAAATGGGTTAAACTAAGGTCAAGGTCATAAACAATTATAGCCATGCATGTAAAGGTCTTGTCACAATGAATACAGAGGCCAAATATGAAAGGCATAGCACCAACTGTTCAAAAGTTATGGCCAAGGTTAAAGCTTTAAAATGGCTTCAAGTCTAAGCTAGGGTTGAAGTCAAATATATATACATGTATATCATGAAGAAAAGGACTCATCAAAGAGAAATATACTGGCGAAATATAAATGCCTTTGCACCACCGTTCATACGTTATACTCATGGTAAAAAAATTTTGAAATAGGTCAAGGTCAAAATTGTCTGTATCCAAAGGAAGGTCTTGTCATAAAGAACACACCTGTGAAATATAAGAGCCCTGGGTCGTGTGCAGTGTTATTGTTCAAAAATTAAGTCTAAGGGTATTTTTCAGTGGGTCAAACTCTTAAGGTCAAGGTCAAAACAACTATAGATACCCAAGGAAATGACTTGTCACATTGAATACATTATACATGGGAAGTATGACAGCTCTAGTAGTTACTATTCAAAATTTATTAACAAGGTTAAAATTTCATAATATTTTGCCAAAGTGGGTAAAACTCCAAGGTCAAGAAGTCAAACCCCTTATTCATACAGTGAGGTTGCCAATAACGAATCGCACCCGTTAACGAATCACTTTCAGATGAAAATTCTGTATTTTTCTTATCAAAGTCCAATACTTAGCTTAACCTACCCTGTCATGCTGAATTATTCTTGCTGTTATCATTTATCATGAAATTATTAAATTCAACTCGTTCTATGTCTTAATTTTTAAATAAACATGAACAAGCTTTTTTGTGACGCTGACCAGAAGCGTACATGCAAGCAGACTACTTTCACTTTTCGGTACCGCTCCAATGTGAATCGTACATTCTAGGTAAACAAATTTGGTGCAGATGTTTAATAAAACTATGTGTCTAAAAGCACTGAAAGCGTCATACAATTTCTAAATCAGAAATTAATAGTATTCGCTTTAAAGTTGGGGGTATTTAGGTTTCCAATAACGAATCGCTGTTTCAAAAAATATGAGCTGCAGGGATCCTGTCCAAATTATAATTTTTCGTATGCGTTTTTTTTTTGCACACCAGTTACAATAAAAAAAACAACAGAAGATGTCTACCAAAAGCGTACAATAAAGGTGGTTGAAATACACATAAACAAAATCAGCAGCCAAAATCAGTAAGAAGTGTAATCCGAGATTCCTCTGACTCTAACCCCCGCTTTTATATTATGACTTGTGCGGGGGAGAGTCAGAGCGGACTCCATATTGAAAACTGGGAATTTCAGCTGGTGTCGCGACTCTGCCTACCTTTTACAACTTTATTTCGCGGAGCTAACTCCCGAGAAGCGAGAAATCAGTAAAATGATTATTACTCTACTTGTTAATCGTCATTACAATGATGCTACCGCCGTTTAAACTGTCCTATCACCGACAAATGAAGCATCACTTGAATAAGGTCGCCTTCTCGCCATTCGACTTCTTTGCGCATGACGTCAAAACGTGCTCAAAACACGTGTTGACCTTTCGGAAAAATATGAAAGTGTTGTGAAAAAATACATAAAACAATATAATGATGTTTCATTTATTTATTTATAAGGAAAGCAACTGTCAAAAACGACTTCTATGCTAAAATTAGGTTAAAAACAGCATTAACACCAAACATATATATGTTTGTGTATTTGTGTGTACGTCATGCGCATGAGGCGAATTCAAGTGATGCTTCATTTGTCGGTGATAGGACCGTTCAAACGGCGGTAGCATCCTTTTAATGACGATTAACAAGTAGAATAATAATTATTTTACTGATTTCTCGCGTCTCGGGAGTTAGCTCAGCGAAATAAAGTTGTAAAAGGTAGGCAGAGACACCAGCTAGCCAAATTCCCAAATATACTCTCCCCCGCACAAGTCATAATATAAAAGCGGGGGTTAGAGTCAGAGGAATCTCGGATTATAAGAAGTGCAGAGCATGTGGATTCGAGAATGTCTCCCGGTGGTATAGGCTATATGCCTGTCGTAAGCTATTGTGAAGACATCGACGATAGCGAAATAAAAATCGTCATGATTACCAAACAAAATTAAGATTTAGAAATTTTATTTATTAATCCCTTTGCAAAATAAACTTCCCTACTAAATCCTTATTTCCAACAATACCCCGTTTGCAGTTTTCCTATTCCCTAAAAAAATTATTTCCAATAATCAATTTTTATTTCTTGTCATGATCAAGATCAAGCTCGTATAATATAAAATACATATTGCTAACAATACTTTTTCAAATCAACATCAAGCTAAATAAATTATAAACAGAGTATTATGATACCCCCCCCCTTTTTTTCAACATATACTAGTTAGTAATGATTTGATTTAAATTACACATTGAGAAAATGATATGCAGACTGCAGCCTTTTGCCTATATGGAATATACGCCACCACTGTCTTCACGTAAAAGGGAGAAAGAGCACTATGAAAGCAGCTAGAGGAGAATGAGCTGTCTTATTCATTTCTATAGAGACGATGGACAGACCCATATAAAGTAAAAGAACAGTATTTAATAAATCGGAATACTGGTATTTAGTCTACTGTGGATGTTGGAATGGAGAAATCCAGCAAATGAATCACAGCATCATTATTTGTAAAGTTGTCTCTGCTCAAGGAAATTTAGGTGTTGGGTCTCGACATTTTGAAAATATAATTGTTCCTTTCAGCTTTAGGTATCTCTGAAGCCAGGCTCGTAGGAAGCAATTTCAGTTGGTGGGGGAGGGGTGCAGAGCCATACATTTGCAGTTGAAGAGGCACTATCAACCACCAACATTCCTTGACAATTAATTAATCAAGCATGAAAAGGTCATCTGACATTTTTTTTTTTTTTTTTGAGGGACACAATCATAATATCTACTAGCGATATATTTTCTATCCAAATAGTGACAAAATTATGGGAAGGGGTGTGGTAGCTCAATGAGTACAATTTTTGAATAAAAAATAAATTCTTCGGCTGTTTCCAGTTCATCACATATAAGTTTTACGTCCTCTTATATCAACTATAGTCATTTGTTTTCCCTATGATTTCATTGTTGTTGTTTTAACATTAATTGTCGGATGCAAACAACTCAAAAAATTCCTAGCTTTTCTACTTTTTTGGGGGGTGGGTGGGGTTTGAAATATTTTAAGGCATAGTAAAACGTTACGTAAGAAGGGTATTTTTAGATTTACACGGTCCCGAACCAGAATAATCAGCTTTATGTCACGTGATTCGGTAATGGAGAAAATGATCCGGTAAAGGAGAAAACATCATTCATACAAGTAAAGCGATAATTTTTTATTTATTCAGTGGTTATTGGGAAAATATATATGATGTTATAAGTAAAACATAGTACCACCAAACAATGTTGTAAAATGAATTTAACTCAAACTCAGGTACGAAATATCCAAGCAAATTTACTAAGTGATTCGATAACGGCAACCTCACTGTACCCAAAGAAATGTCTTGTGTAAACACTGTCACATATAAGAATATTAAATCCATTACTAAGCAATCAGCAATTTGGGGAAAGGTTAAACTTTTGTGGACAAACAAACTAAAAGACATACAATCACACAGAAGGACAAAAACTGTATATCCGAATCATTACTCTTATAAAAGATTGAGTTACGGTGCGTCGATTTACCCAAAAGGACCCAAAAGGAACCCAAAAGGAAATTAAGAACGACCCAAAAGGACTTCAAATAAAGAGAATAAATGGATATATAATAAACACTTTCATATTTTATTAAACCTAAAACTAGTTTTTTGAGGGGAAAAGGTCCCCCACACCCCCACCCCACCCATCCCCGATACGATATGCCTGGAACATGTCATAAAATAAAACTTATTTCTTCATTTATGAAATATCATATATTAAGATATGGTAAAATAGAAGGAGAAATAGAATAATTGTTAATTTCAGCTAAAAGAAATCAAAGCATATCTGACCAGATTTAGTGTTTGATGTGTTATAAAAGTTATTTTATTTCTTTGAGAAAAGTTGCAACAATATTATTGTATGTTTTTGCCAACTTGTAGGTAAACTTATAATATAAAATTCATAATTTAATTCAAATCATTCATTTTCAATGTATCATAATATATTTATTTTAGTCCTTTTGATTCCCTTTTGGATCCATTTGGATTCTTTTGGATCCTTTTGGGTAAATTAACGCACCCTTGAGTTATGGTACGATTTATCTAATTCTTGCACAACCCCAGAAATAATGACGTTTTACTC